AACTAAAAATGTATTTAAAACAAAAAGAGATGATTCATCCACGATATTACTCATATGAATATTATGAAGATAATCCAAATACAACGTCAATATGCTCAGATGATTCGTCTTTTAGTTTGTCAAGAATTATTTGATGAAATAAGAAAATAATTAAATAATCGAACAGTTGATAATGGTGGATTTATTCCCCAAATTCAAAGCTTTAAGAATTTAGTGTCATTGAAATTCAACAATACTGAACTCAACCATTTGGATGAACTTATATCACTTCCACTAACTCTATTAGACGTTTCTAACAACCAAATAAATTCATTATCTCCATTGATTCATCTTACTACACTTAAATTTCTTAATGCATCATCAAACCCTATTTTATTTATCCCTCCCTTACCAGAGCTTAAATCACTTTGTCTTGTCAATTGTCCATTAGAAGATAACAAACAAACAATAAGATCGCTCTATAAAATGACAACATTAACATGCCTAGAACTTCCACGTTCTACTCATACAAAGTTAGTAGATCCAAGACAAGCTCTTCAAAGGACACGTTTTCAAAGAAGAAGAGGAAAATTATTTAAAACACAAAAAGAGTATTATGAAAGAATTAATAATACACCTGCACCATTACTGTTTGATAGTGATGTTTATATTAGAACTCTTATTTTATTTTTACCACTTCTTGTTGTATTTAATAAAGAGAGAATTGATGGAACAGTTAGAAGACTAGTTGCACAATCAGTTAATGATGAAGTATCAATTCCATTACAACATACTCCAATTCTTAACTACATCCACCATACTCCATTAGGTAAAATACAAAGAAATTATAGTTCATTTGTATCAGCATTATATGGATTTAATGAGACACCATTTAAACAATTAATGCCAGAAATTGAAGTTCCAAGACAGATAGAATATAATAAATGTATTCCAGGAAAACTTATTATAAGTTGTTTAAATGGAAAAATATATCTTTATAACCTTCAATCAAATACATCAACACAAATAAATTCTCCTTTTAATTCTTCACCATATGGGATTTGTTGGTGTTCACAAATGTCAATGGCAAATAATTGTATTATTGGTAGTGATACAGGAAAGTTATGTTATTATGATTTTTCAAAAGGAAAAGAACCATTATTAACAATAGATAATTTAGAACGAATAACTTCTGTACATCTTAATTGTAATTGTTCAAAATTTATTACTTCAGGATTTGAAACTAATGTAAATCTTTTTGATTTTGAAACACATCAATTAGAACGTGTTTATGGATCTTTACATAATGAAAATGTTAATGTAGCAAAGTTTTCTAATACCAATCCATTTTTATTTACAACATGTTCGTTTGATTCTTGTGCAGCAATATGGGATCTTAGAACAGATTGCTCTATTCCAGTAATACAATATACTGGAGAAACATTATTAGTAACAACAATATTCTCAGAAAATGATTTAAATATTCTTATTGCTGGTTGTGATAATTATGTTGAGTCAATTGACCTTAGAGCTCAAAAAGGAATAAAAATGCAATTAGAACGAAGATGGGATAATAATTCATTTTGTCGTGGTTATTATTGTAATGGAGGAGAATCTGTTGTTGTTAGTAATTCACATGAACAAACACTCCATATAGCAAGAACATATGATGGTAAAAGAGTTATTGATTGTCATTGTGATAACATTAATAATCAATATAATTTTGATGGTGTTATTACTGTTAGGTGTGATCCATTTAATGACTTTGACTTTAGTTTAGTTATGAATAATGATTCACTAACTCAACTTGGGTTATTCCATTGCCAACTAGTCTAGCTAATTGACACTCAACACAATAATTTAAATGATATTGAAACTTTTGTTTGAAAAGAAACAAAAAGAAAACCATTCAGAAAGTCTATTTTGAGAACTTATTTCCATTAACAAAAAGTGACAAGTCATCGTGATTGTACAAAAAAGAACTTACTAATCATTTCATTATGTCTGATTTTACTAACCTTATTTATGAATTTCCAGCTGTGTCAACAAAAATGGAGAATATTGTCATTCTCACTAAAGCTTATATTGCTTATTTTAAAGAACGAGCTAGTTTAGAAAATGAATATGGTAAAGGTATTCATACTCAAAGTACTGTCCCAATGAAAACTTCATTATTTAATAAAGAAAATCCTGTTGATAAAACTGAATCTACTTTAAAGGCTATGCTTGAAACAATTAATAGTGAGAGTGAAAAAATTGGTCAAAAACATCTTGAAACAGCTAGTAAAATTCTTAATGAAATTGTTAAGCCATTAGAAGCACTTGTTAAAGATATTGAAGTTGGAAAAAAGAAACTTATTAATGATACTAATAAAAGCATTAATAGTCATAATGCTTTAGTTACTGCTGCTGAAAAAGCTAAAGTTAATTATAAAAAAGCTGTTACTGAACATAAGAATGCTGTTGAAGCAGGAAAAACACTTGAAGGACCAGCTCAAGAAAAGAATAACATTAAAATTGGACAATTAGATGCTAAAGTAAAGAAATTAGAAGCTGACTATCGTGCTGCTGTTGATAAAGCTAATACTACTAGAGAAGTATTATATCAAACAGAACTTCCAGAGGTTCTTAAGGGTTGTCAAGAATTAATTTCTAAACATTATGAAACATTTAAAGCAGTACTTGACCAATTTGTTGTTACTCACATTGAATTATCAACTATTATAGCCGATGTTTCCCAACGTTTAAGAGGAAATATGGAACATGTTTCTTATGAAGCTGACCTTGAAGAATTTATTAAAGCAAACCTTAATGTCCATGAAATTAAAAACATTGAGCTTGAACTTGAAGAAGCAACTGCTCCAACTGAAGAAAAGAAAGAAGAAACACCAGTTGAAGAAGAGAAGAAAGAGGAAACACCAATTGAAGAGGAAAAGAAAGAAGTTCCAACTGAAGAAGAGAAGAAAGAGGAAACACCAGTTGAAGAACAAAAAACTGAATAAAAACCCAATTTTAATTCAATTTTTAAATGATATATATCACAGAATTTCTGAGGGTTGAACGAAAACTATAAAAAGAAGTAAAAAGATGTCTTTTAAAAAGCACAACAAAACGAAGAAAATAAATGAAGAAATAAAGAAAAAAGAAGAAGATAATAATAAAAAAGAGATTGAAACTAAACCAAAAAAAGAAAGACCTCAAGTTGGTGTTTCAGATAAGAAGCTATTTGTCATTGGATTACCAAAAGATTATAGTAATGAAGAATTTCAAACACTTATGGGAGAAGTTGCCCCAGTGAAAAAAGCATTTATAATAACAACACATGGATCTAAAGAATGTACTGGAAATGGATATGCAATTTATGGAACTATTGAAGATGCACGACTTGCTAAAAGGAAATTAAATAGAAAAAAAATTAAGAAAGGAAAAGAAATAAAAACAATTTATGTTAAATTTGCTGATAAAAAATTACGTGATGAAAAAGAAACAGCTATTCTTACAAAAAGAAAAGAAGAGAAACCATTTGAAGATTCATTTAGTAAGCAAACTAATGAAGAGAAAAAAGAATTAGAAATTAAACAAGTAGAAAAAGAAAGTTCACAAACTTCTTCTGAAAGAACAAAGAGAATATTGGAAAATGTATTAGATGAAATTGATAATGGACAATTAAATCAACAAAGTGATGATGATGAAGAACTCAAAATGACAAGAACAGAACGTGAGGCTAAAAAGAAATTAGCTAAAGGTCAACTTAAACGAAAACAACAATTATCTAAATTAAATGAAGAGTGTGATGGACATATTCGATTTGAGTCTTATAATGAAAAGAAACCCAAACAATTTAAAAAACATCAAAAACAATCAAAAAGATATACCAAATGATTGAATTAATTTTTTTATTGTTATAATATAAGGTTCGTTATTATGTTTATTAAAAAAAAAGAATTATACAATAGTTAACAAATTAATTAAATAAAAGTAAATGTACCACATTCAAACTTTATAAAACCAGAACAAACAAGATATACTGATGTTTTGTCATTAGGTTTTATTGTATGTAAATCAGTTAAAAGTGATAATGAATTAAAAGGAGTTGATGTAGAAATAGAAGGGAGAGAAGGGTCTGTTATTAATGAAGGATTTATACAATTCCATGGTAATCTTGTTGTTAATAAAAAGTTAATTTGAGAAGTTGTATTAAGATTAATGACATTTTCTTTATTAAATTGATATAATTTACATTCTAACGAAGCTAAAACCAAATGAGTATTATTAAATGAAAATAATTATCTAATTTTTAAGAAATAACAAACGTTGAATTTTAATTAGAGAAAAACACAGAACTACAGCAATCATAAAGATTGTTGTAAGAATTTTAAATAAATGATAGAATGAAATATCATTACAATATTTAATAGTACATCCCCAAAAAAGTAATAATGTTGCCAAGTAAAATCCAAAAAATCTAATTAAACATGAACCATAGATAAAACTAATTGCAATAGCACAAACATTAATATTAAGAATAATAAAATAACTTAAATATAATGATTTTTGATAATTTGTAAATTCTTTTTCTTTAAACCAATTACCAATTTGTTTTTTCATTTCTTTAATAGTTTTTTTAGATAAATTTTGTTTAATCTTCTTTGGTAATTCTTCTGTAGATTGAATAATATTTTTAACAATGGTAGAATTAAATCGTTTCATATGTTGTGGCATTCTTGAAATAGAAATAACTCCAAGAACTGCTGTAATAAGTTGTGAACTTATAATAAAAGGTAATTCAGGAAATAATAGAATAGTACTAAGTGTTGATAATAATGTAATTATAACAAGAGGAAGTGTTATCTTTAAAGGTCCTAACATAAATGTAAAATCAAATTGTTGTTTATTTTCTTGTTGAATTATATTTAATGCACTAATAACTGCTTGTTTTGCTTCTTTAATTGTTGTTTCTTGTTTTGCTTTAATATCATTTAATATATTTTTTAATGTTTTTAATGATTCAATAATAACAGGAATTAATGCTAATGAATCAATAGATAATGTTCCATCAATTTCTTCATGAACAAGTTCAGGTACTACTTGTTGAAGTTGTTGTGCAATAAAACCTGAACGAATAGTTTCATCATTATTATATTTAAATGTACAACAAAAGATATTAACAATTTTATTTAATGCATTTTTTATTTTTTGAATATTATGTTTTTTTCTTTTGTCTGAACGTACAACAAAACCATTTTCTGTAAAAATTTCACCATAAATATGTAATTGAATTAATTGTGGTGTAATTTGGTCAATTGATGCAAAATTTTCTTCACCAAATATCTTAATTAATGGTTCTAAATATCATTTATTAATATATTTTTTTTTTATTCTTTTTTTAAATAATTAATTTAATTTATTTCTTACAAACGATAAATATATGTTAAGTCTTGTGGATATATTTGTTGAATAACTGTATTTGGAAAAATAAATCCATTAGTATTAAATAATTCTTGACTGTTATTATGTTGTTCTTGACTTTCATTCATACCAAATCCATCAGCATTAAATAAATACATTATTATTTATTATTATTTCTTCTATATTATGTAGATGTTTAATTTCTTTAAAAACCCTTTTTTTAATTCATTGTTTTATTATTCTTTATTTTCCTTTTTTTTTTTAAATTTGATATTTAACTTCCATTCCACACGATTCAATTAATTTATTGCAAGAATTTGAATGGTCTTTCTTTTTGGCTTGTAACCTTTGGTGCAGTAACTACATCAGCTGGAACTTCAACTTTAACAGCTTCTGTGGATGGTTTAACTGCTTGTTGTTTATTAGTCTTCTTAACAACTCTCTTTGGTGGAAGTCTATTTCTTCTGTCTGTTCTTGATCGAACTCTAACTACTCTTCCATGAATACCACATGAAACACAATACTCTAATTTCATATAAGTTTTTGGTAATTTATATTTGGTGAGTGCAGAGTTATCTGAAATATCACGGACTGCAGCTGCTTCAACAATGTTTTTAATTTGATATCTCTTGATGGCTTTATCTTTTGGGACACATCTTCCACAATGGCTGCATCTAACATTTTGAGTGTGTCCTCTTCCTTTCTTAGATCTTCCGTTATTTCTTCTCTTTGAAGTCATGCTATTAATATAAGTATTATTTATCTTTTAAATCTTCACTTTATTTTAAAAGTATTTAATTAACAACATACCCTCTGCAATGATTTAATTTTTTAGTTCTTTGGGGTTTTTAATTATTCTATATTTTTTATTATTTTTTTTATTCTTTTCTTTTTATTATTTCTGTCTTTTCAATTCAAAAAATTCTTTTCTCAAATCTCTCATTAAAAATTAAGATTTTCTTTTCATTTTCTTCTACTTAATAGCTGATGACTAACGTTGACCTTAATCAAATTTTTGATAATGGAGTAGATAGCATTATACAACTTATTAAAACTGACTTAGACCTTTCAATTAAATCAGAAATTATGCAAAGAATTGCTGACCAATGTCGTGATGATGAAAAGTTTAGACAAATTTATGTTAAAAAAGAAATTCTTGAATTTATTGTTGGTTTATTAAATTGTGACAACGAACATTCTGCTCTTCAGGCTTGTCGTTGTATTGTTAATTTAACATATTATAATGAACCAGCAAGAAATATATTACTTGAAATAGGAGGAGATAAATTAAAAAATATTTCACTTATTATTGAAGCATTTCCTAATTTAAGACTTGTTGGGATTAGTGCTTATGCCAATCTCTTTGAGTCATGTGAAAAATTACAAGAAATTCTTATCGATGATGGATTTAAAAAAGCAATTTCATTATGTATTAATGATTGTTATGAAACTGTTATTAGAACACTTAATAATTTGACTTCTACTAATAAAATGAATGAATGTTTTAAATCAACATTTTTTGTTGAATTATTAGATAAAACACCAAGTGACTTAGCTGATTCTGATTTTTCAGAAGTAGTTGAATATTTTATTTCAGTACTTTCATTTGAAGAGTTTAGAAAAGTCTTTTGTAAACATTCAGAAGCTATATTTAAGGGATATAAATCAGCAATTGATATTATTGTTAGTCCATTATTTCCAAAGAATGTTGATGAACAAGATTTAAATCAAGTATGTATGTCTATAAAATTAGTATTTGATTTATTTAATGCATTTTATCAATTTACAGAAACAGCAAAATTATATGATTCAATTATTGAATTAACATTAGCATATACTCTTCATGGAAATATTTATAAAGAAGATTATATTCCAGCACCTACTCAAAATCATACATGTGAAATTCTTTGTCATATTGCTACTGTAGAAGAATTTCTTTCACGTATTTGGGATAAACATAATGAATTTATTAAAATTGCATTTGAAACATCAAATAATTCAAGAATGATGGATATGCAAAAACATTCTATTGGTATTATACAATCATTCTCAACAAATAAGGAATATGTTTCAATTTTATTAAAAGAAGGAATTATGGAAAAATTAAGTTCAATTTTCAATGAAAATAATATGATGAATCAACCATTAATTTATAGGTCTCTTTCAGTTTTACAAAATTTCACAATTCTAGCAGAAGATAAAAATACTGTTTGTAATGAATTTGCTCTTAAAATGATTATTGTTACTTTTAAATATATGACAAATATTGTTATTCGTTATTCTGCTGTTCAAGCATTGAGAAATATCTTAAATTTTAAACCAGAATTTTCAGAATTATTAAAAGAAGAAGGACTCAATGCACTTATTGATGTTTGTCTTGGAAAAGATGAAGCACAAGAAAAAAAGGATCAACCAGATAAAAGAGTTAGATTTGAAGCTACTAGAATTTTAGTACGATTACTTAAAGAAAATAAAAGTATTAAAGAAACTCTTAAAAGAGATAGTGATATTTATTCTTGTTTATTGGAAAATTTAAGAACAGACTATGCAATTCTTATTAAAGAAGTTATGGAATTATTAATTGATTTCCATAACAATGGTATTATTTTACCAAACCAATTTAATCTTCAAGTTAAAGAAGTCGTTAAAGAAAAATTATCGACTATTTTAGCATCACCAAAAGACAATCAATTATTGAATAAAGATATTCTTGAATTATTTGAAAAATTCTTAGCATTTAAAGATTAACGTTAATTCAAGTACTTTTTATTAAAAGTTTTAATTAAAAAGTCTTTTATTAATTAAACAAATAATACAATATACAATATGATGTAATAATAATAAATAACAATGATGACATTAACACATCAATTCTATATTCAACAATTTCATTAAATCTATACAAAACACTTATTATAATAAATGAAATTATTACAAACTATTAAAATGTTAATTATTTTAAAGTTTTTAACATTCAAAAAGAAAAAAAAAATTAAAACAAACAATTATCATTTTATATATTAACGGATTAAATCGATTTTTATTATTTAAAAGTCGTTGACCAAAAAGTTTATCTTTTTGGTGATTAGATAATTCTAGTTGTTTCATTCTATTCTTATATTTTATTTCTTTTTTAAGAAGTTTAATATTCTCTCCTTCTAAACAATCACAACTTGTGTCATCATCATCAATTGGATCATTAAGGAAGTCAAGTTCTTCTTGCATTCTTGAAATTATGTTATTTAGTTATTTGATATTTTTAGGGTTTATATAAAAATTAGTCATAAATAACATTCTAAACCGTTTGTTATTTTTATGTGAATGGTGATGTTATATTATTCATAGAATTTATCATTGTTAAAACCATATCTTTATCAATTTCATTACATTTGATTTTTATTTTTCCTTCATTACTACTAACAGAAATGAGTTCTTTCTTTTCAAGTCTCGAAATACATGATTTAACAATAAATTCATTCCAATTTATTAAATCACTTTTTTTATATCTAATTCCATCAAGATATTTCATAATACTTTCATATCCATATTCTTCTTCTTTACATTTCATTATACAATATAATATAATTAATTCCATTTGACTACATGTATTTAATGTTGGGTATGATGAATTTGAAGTAATTAATTCATTTACTTTTTGATGACTTAATTTAATATCTTCTCCTTTTTCAATTCTTTCTTTTGTATTAAGTAAAATATTAAACATCATTCCAAGTGCTTTTCTAACATCACCATTTTGTAATGACATTTCAATTCTTTCATTAATAAAATAATCAAAGTCTTTTTTATTAAAAATTTCATATATCACTTCTTCACCAATTCTTTTTAATAAAATATTTTTAATTTCTTCTGATGTATATTGATAAAAATTATAATTAAATGTAACATTTCTTGATGCAACTCGAGAATGAAGAATTTGAGAATATTGACTATTATTTGAAATTAATATTAACATCATTAAGGGTGATTTATTAAATATCCAATCAAAAAATCTATATAATGGTCCTTCATCATTCATTAATACATCATATTCATCAATTACAATAATCCCATTTTTTATTTTATCTAATCTTTTTAATAACCTTTCCATAACTTTTTCTTCTGAACTACTTTTCTTTAATCCTCCAACTTTACGACATATATTAATAATACTTTTTTCTTTAATTGCATTGAAAAAGAATGTTGTAATTTCATTTTGATGTTTTTTAAGTAAGTATTGAACCATCATTGTTTTCCCTGTTCCTGGTGTTCCATTAATAAAAAGTATTCTAGTACATGGACTTTGAATAAATACATCAATATTACTTTCAATTCCTCTTTTTTGTTCTTCTCTTCCAACAATTTCATCATCAATTAATTCAAGTGCACTTTTTTTAATTCGAGCAAGTCCTAATGATACAATCTCATTCATTATTTCTGTATTATCGTTTTTGTAGTTTCTTTTTATTTAAAGTAAAACAAAAAAAAAAGAAAAATTAAATTCAGAAAAAATTCATTACGAGAAAATCATTTAGTAGAAAAATCCAAGAATTCTTCCTCCGGTATGTTTAGCTCTAGCTTCAGTATTGTCAAGAATACCATATGATGTGGTCAAAACAAGTGCTCCAAAGTGTCTTGATGGAAGTAAGTTAGCTTCCCATTTATCAAATTCACTAAGAGTAACATTGAATCTTGGTGAAATGACAGCACATTTATTAAGTCTTCCATTTAAGTTAACAACGATCTTTCCACTTCTGTGGGTATCAACGACAGTGTAGTCAGTAATGTATTGATGTTTCATCATAACGTTCAAAAATTCACAAATAACTTTTGAAGCTGGTCTGATCATAACTTGTCTTTTACCTTGTTTTTCAGCATTGGTAATTGATTTAAGAGCATCAGCAAGAACGTTAACTCTGACCATGAATTTCTCCTGTCAAATTTAAGTTCCTTTGTTTTTCCTAAGGGTTTTTTTTAAAAACAAATCTTATTAATTATAATTTGTTTATTATAATATTTTTTATGTTAATCTTTTTAAACTTTTAAAAACAAAATTAAAAAAAAGAATATGTGATATAAAACAAAATAAATGAATCAATCATCTTGAAAGAGTCTTCTTCTACAATCAGTTGGTTTTACTCTTGTAAAAGAAATATCTTTAGATTTTGATAAAACCATTAACATATGTTTTCCTGGATTTTTTGTTTTTAAAGAAATTTTTTTTAAAGAAGAGATGAATTGTTGTAAATTTTCTAAAGTATAAAAATTTACTGAAAATTGATCAAAAATATCATGTCTTTCAGTAGAAATACCGTTAATTGACCATTTTGGATAAGTAATTAATTGTAAGATACCTATCCATTCATTATTTTCATTTACACATCCAAGGTTTTTAAAACACATCCAAGGTACTTCTATTCTAATGATATTGTTATCATTTTTAAACTTAAATCTTAAGGTTAATTGAAAATTACTTTCTGATGATATTTTAATTGACCCTGTCCTTTTTGAAACTATAGTTGAATCACCATAATATAATATAAAACAACACCTAAACTCTCTTAGTACATATACCTTTCCTTCATGAAGAAATTCACTTTCCATTAATTTTAAGTGTCTTAATTCACTTGTTTCATTTTGATTTTTTACAAAATTTAATTTATTCATAGGAGTCATTGATTCCATTGACTGTTTAATTAATGGTGTTTCATTAACTTGAAGAATCTTTGTATAATCATTTAATATTTCTAAAATATCATTAAAATCTGGTCTTGAGTCATAATGATGAGCAAAACACATAGAAATTAAAGTAGCAACATCACTATCACATTGAACTGGTATTTTTGGTCTTAATATAATTTTGTCAGAAGAGACTTGATTCATTAAAGCAAATGGTTGTTGAAGAAGATTTGGAAATTCATAATAAGGACGATTATAATGTTTACAATAAACTACATGAATAACTTCCCAAAATACAATTCCAAAAGAAAATACATCTGACTTTTTCTTTTTATCAACTGGAAGTCTATTAAATAAAGAAACATCTATACTTTCTGGTGAACAATAACCTGGAGTTCCTCTTATTAAACGACTTGTTTTATGTCCTACTTCATTATCTGAAACAAAGAAAGAAAGACCAAAATCACTAATTTTAATACTTCCATTTTCACCAACAAGAATATTGTCTGACTTTAGGTCAAGATGTAAAATTACTGGAATATGTTCATGAAGATATCTCATTCCTTCTGCAATTTGTTTCATTATAGATAATCCATTTAATAATGAAATAGGACATTTATCAAGGTACATAGTTAATGTACCATTTGAAATATATTCAGTTAAAATAGACATAAAAGGAACATCAATACATGCCTTATAAAAAGCAACAATATTTGGATGTTCTAATTGACTCAAAATACTCATTTCCATCATAAACTGATTCATTTCTTCTTTACTTAAGTTTTGTTGTTTTAATACTTTAATAGCAACTCGTTGATATTTACAATTCTTTTCATGAGTTGATATTGATGATTGATAAACTTTTCCAAATGTCCCTTCTCCAACAACTTCTCCTCTTCTAATATAATCCGTAACTTCTTTATCACTAATTAAAGCGTTTCTTGATTGTAATGTTCCTATAGAATCATATGAATGAAGTAATGATATTTCTGTTGGCTCTTTTTCCAGAACTAATGTTTGACTTCCTTGTATTGGTAAAGTAGTTTGTAGTGACACTCTAGAATTTTGAAACAAAAGAGTAGTTTCAGGTGAAATTGGATTTTTTGGAACATTAAATTGGTTAGTGTCAGTACTAAATCCAGTTATATTTTGTTGAGGAAACATGACACTTCTTTGTTCTTCTTTTTCTTTTTTTTTATAAAATTATTTGTTATATATAACCAATTAAATCTAAATTATAAAATATTAATAAAAAGTATTATATTTTAAACTTCATAAAATCGTTTTTATCCAAAAAAAAACCAAAAAAAAGATAAAAATGAATAATCACTTAAAGTCGTGTAAACTGATGGAAATCAGGCTACTGTATTAAATTAAGATTCTTATTAAAAAAGCACAAATTACACATGAAGGTAATGGACTGAACAACTCATAGCCGCACCAATCCATTCTGGATTAGATTTAGACCAACATACATCATTAACTTCTCCATCAGAAGAGAATTCTAATAATGAATTTTCGTTTTGACTAGATGGTTTAATTACCCAAACCATAACCTTTTTATCAGTTGTTCCAATACATAACTCATTAGCAGAAGATGTTGACCAATCAATACAACTGACTTGATTTTGAGCAATTTTTAATTGAGTCATTGGTTCAAAAGGTTTTCTAGTATCCATAACAACTACCCTATCACCATATGAACTGAATGTAGCAATTCTAGTAGGGTCAGAAGAACTCCAAGAAAGTTTCATAAGGTCTGGTGCATCTTGTGATTGATATAATAACATAACAGGTCTTTCAGTACGAGTATCATTTAATTGGAGTAATCCTTGTTCTGAGGCAATACCATAAACATCAGGAGAATTAGGACAATACTTCATATCAAATATTTGTTTCTTACTTGGAATGGACCAAGCAAGACGCCTTGTTTCTACATTCCAAACACAACAAGTATTATCTAAATACCAAGTACATAATAAGTCTGGATTTTGATTACACCAGTCAAATCCACAAGACGGTAGTTGATATTTTTGATCAGTCATAGTAGCAGTAAGATTAATGTCATTTGAACTTGATAAACTGAATACACGTAATCCATCACCTGAAGTAACAAAAATATCATTATTAGAAATAGGTTTAGGTGAAAAATGAGCTGCTGTTGGTGTAAAGGGAAGGTCATGTACTGCAGGTGATAAAGTTTTTGAAATAGTATCACTTTGAACAACGTATTGTAAAATATGTAAATGAGATGTAATAGTATCAGTAAATGTTGTATAAAGACATCTCAAAGGGGCATTAGTAAAAGATGACCAACTAATTGACATAACAGGTGATTGAGCAACATAATATAAATGTCCTTGCTTAGGTTGCACTGTCATTGATTTTCTTTTTTATTTTTTTAGATTCAGTTTTAAATACCTGGATATATGTGATTTTGGTACCTGGATCTATTGTACTTCCTATTCTTTGTGACACTTTTCGAATCGTCATCTTAATTAGTTCAAAACTAGTTATATATTACAATTTTACTATTCTTTTATTAATCTCTTTTTATTTATAAAAGAACTAAAATATTCCTTTTCTTTTAATTTTTCTTTGATTCAGTAAAAAATAGGGTTTTTAGTTAAAATAATAATAGTGAGTCTTGGAAATAGTTCGTAAAGAAATTATAAAAATAAAGATTTGAACTATTAAATCATCTTTTGGTTTAATCCATTTCTATAGACTTAAAATAAACTTTTTTATTAAATTAACATCAAGCATTTATTATTCATTACATATTTTTCATGTTTTTATGAAAAACGAAAAAAATAAAGAAGTATTTTTATTTTATGAGACTTTGACTTTTATTTTCATTATTATGGAGAAAAATAAAAAAAATTTTCAAGTGATACATTATTAATTAGAGCTGTCCTAATGTTTTTTTGACTTGAGGTTGGGTTTGTTTTTGTTCTTTGGACTTGACTTGAAGAGAGTCCAATGTAAGAGAGTTAATATCAATACCTGTCTTCCAACTCTTCTTTTCATTTAATGACTCATCATTAAAAACAAATTCATTATTACTTTTAGGTTGTTGTTGAGTTGGTAAGACAATTGGTGTAGCAATATTAGAATTATCAAATGAAGCAAAAGGATCAACAGGTTGTTGATAAGATTGAATGTTTTGAGGTTGTTGTTGATAAGATTGAGTATTTTGAGGTTGTTGAATGGTAATAGTACTACTACAACCTCCTAATAAATCAAATATATTTAAATTTTGATTAGTATTAGTTTGTGAAGTTAAAATTGGTTCAGTTTTTGTTTGTTGAGAAATGGTATTACTCTTTTTTTCAGGGACAATAGTTGTATTGCCATTGCGCGGCTGTTCTTCTAACATATCAAATACGTTTTTATGTGTTTGTTGATAACGAGGAGATACCTCTGGTTTGTCTAATGATTCTGAAGAACTTTCAGACTCACCAGATACATTCTCTTTTAGAACAATTGATTTTAGTTCAACTTTCTTTCTAGTTTCATGAGTTTCAGTCATAGACGTTTTGTAATCAGATGAATATGCCTCTCCAAATATGTTTTGTTTTTCTTTTTCTGACATACTCCTTTTAGTCTCAAGTGCCTCATCATCACTAAGTAAATCAGTAATAGCTTTTGAACGTTCTCTAACATTAATTCCAACATCTTGTCCAGTTGACTCTTTTATTTTTTGGAATGAATGAAGTGTTTTAATTTCAATTTGCCTTCTTTTGAATCTCTCAACAGCTTCTGGTGTTCCATTTATTATTATATAATAAATTAGTAACAATGACTTGTAAATATGTCTCCAATATTTACCGTCATCACCTAGTCGTTGTAATAAGGTATCACAAACTAGTCCACATTCACTATAAAATTACTTTCTTATTTTTTGGCTTTAAATATAAAAACAAACTATTGATGAGTAAGTCTACAAATATTTCTGTACTGTTCTGGAGTAGGTCCATAGTTTTTATGGCTTGTTGCCATTTTAATATATTTTATCACAGCAGAATCATTTTTAAATATTATACTATGCCATTAAGATGTGCAACATAAAAAGGAAATAACAAGTCACAAACGTTGACATTCAAGGATTTGATGAATCTAGATTTTTTTGCACATTTTCATCCAATTTTGGCTTTCTTTTCTCCTCATCCACAAAAACTAAAATTTTTTAATGACTCTTGTTACTATTTGTGGTTGTTTTTAACAAACAATTAAAGTTGTTGAAATTGATAATAAAATTGTTTTATTTTAAGATTCTTTTCATTCAAGAAAAACAAAAAACTGATTTAAAAAAAAAAAAAAGTTAAACTCATAAGAATTTTTCTGAATATGTCAGTAATAACTAATGAAGAAGTTTTAATTAATGAAAATGATGAACAATTAGATATTCTTCAGAGAAAAAGTGCTGCCCTGAAGAACGCAACAAATACACTTTTAGATAAAGTTAGTGATAGTAATAAAAATATTGATGAAACTGTTTGTATTACTTAAAAGACTTTAAAAGAGAATTAATAGAAATAGGCAATAGAAATGAGAAGTTTAGTTGATTTAACAAATAGGAGTATTGAAGGAATTAGTAAAGTAGTTGGAGCGAAATTTACTTATAGACATTGTTTTTATTTAATTTGTGGATTAGTTGTATTACTTTTGATACTATACTTTATGTTCTTTAAAATGGATTGGTTTTCATCAAAAGTTGATATTGTTCCAACAGAACAAAATTAAGTAAAGCAAATATTTAACTTCAATTATTTTCTTTTATTTATTTTTTATGAGTAGCTGCTATTGTTATATCTCCTTTTTGCATGATCATAATAACTCCATTTGTTCCTTCAATAGTAATTATTGGAGAATCACTTTGTGTTAATTCTTTAGAACAGTTCATTACAGATTGGCTAAAACCACTACTTTTGGTTGGCATAATACCTTGAGCTTCAACACAAAGACCACGAGTGTCACTACAGACATATCCATCAAAATGAGATAGAAGTTCTTGATTAACAATTGTCGCTTCTAGATCATTCATTTCCAGTTTGATTTTTCAGATAATCTTTTCATTTGAAGAAAAAACTCATGAAAAAACACAGATTGAAAAGACATTCTTATTTAATCATACTCATTTCAGTAGAAAATCGAAGAAAGCAATAACTAATGGAGAAAGCAAAAGAGGCATTACCTTCTCTTCAATTATTTCTTGATTTATCAGTAATTAAACCAGTAACAAAACCAAATTTGCCTGATTCCTTTCGATTGAAAAAACATGTTTTGTCTCGAAGAAATTTGAAGAAATATGATGTTGATAAATCTTTAAATTTGAAAGATATGAATACAATCGCTAGAATATGGATAGATTCAATTCCAATAACAGAGAAACTACAGAAATCATTTTCTGTTTCCAGCCAACAAATAGAAATACCAATTGATTATCGTCCTCATGACAAAGAAGAGTAATTTAAAAACTAAATTCAATTTTTTTATTTAAAAAATTAAACTTAAATTTTCTTTTCTTAGTTAAATGACTAATCTTCGTGAATCTCTTCAGCGTAGTTTTTATATGTCTCTTGTTAATGAAAAACAAGCCCTCAGAAAATCAAAACGAGAAGAAATGTTGAATAAAAAACGGGTTATTGAAGAATCAACACAAAATACAGAAACTAAAGACATTTATAATGAAGCTTATATCCAAGCAGCACTCTATGAAGTGCAACAACCCACAACAAAAAATAGAACCATTGATGCTTTGTTTTGTTTACGAAATATTTCTCCAAAACCTGTTATGCCAAGTTTGATGAAACTATTAGACTCTCCTGATGAAAATATTGTTCATGACACGTTGACTGTATTTATTAATTGGAGTGGTACTGATTCAGCATTTTCTAAACAAGTTTTTACTCCAACAACTCTTCCAATATTTGTAAAGTTATTTGATAATTCAGATGAAAAAATTCAATCTCAAATCGCATGGATAGTTGGAAATGTTGCTTCAGAAGGAGGTGTGTATAAGCAGGTCTGTTACAATACATTTGTTGTTCGTCTTGCGAGTTTAATCAATCATTCACTTAGTATCACTACTGTGAGAGTTGTTGTTTTTGCAATTGTTTGTTTATTAGTTTCAAAACCATTATTAACTATAAAAAAAATGGAATCTTTGTTAACGCTATTGGTGTTAGTATTTGATTGTGCTGATTATCAAGTGTGTTCAGATATTCTAGGATGTTTTGTCATATGTTCTGAAGAGTCTGATGAGGAGATTTTAACTTTATGTTCACAATTTTTCAAGGATTTGTTCAAGGGATATCTCAAATGCACAACTAATCTTCTTTCAACAAAAGAAATGTTATTAGCAAAATATTTTATCAAATATGTTGGTAATTGCTTAAGAATGGAAGAGGACATGAGTCTTACTAAAGAAGTTGTAGAATTAAATTTCATTAAATGGATGCAAGATGTTGCTATGTTCATTCAAGATCCTTTAGTAAAAAAAAATTGTTTTTGGGTTATTAGTAATTTATGTTCAACAGAATATCCTAATATTTGTTCTATTATTAATAAAAAAGATTTAATGAATCAAGTTATGTTATGTATCAATACTGAACAAGACATTAATTGTAAAGCAATGGCAATACTTGCATTTTGTAATTTCTTTTCTGTTTGTGAGCAAGACCAATTTGAGAAATTATGTTCTAAATCTCTTTTCTTCTTAACTACAAATAGAATTCTTCAAGAGAGAGATCCTAGAACAACCAAACAAGCATTATTAGGTTTATACAGAATGATTCGTTTTATGATCATTAATGATATACCTTTTATAGAAATATTAGACACAACAGGATTGTATAATTCATTACATCGTCTTTATGAAACTGAGCTAGATGAAACTAGTAAACAATATATTGTAATGATATTGACTTATTATGAAAAATATGATACATCTGAAAATTTAGATGAAGAATAATTTATTAATTTATTTTGATGAGAAAATAATTTCAATTTTCACAATCACTAAGAAGTTGTTGTCGAATAATATTTCTCAACACTGATTCAAGAGCAAGCACTGTTGCTTTGATTTGAAGGTCATGACATTTTCCAGAATATTCCCTCTGAACTTTTTCAACATTATCTTGAATCTGTTGAGCAGAAAAAGAAAGGTCTAGTCTTAATAAATCAGAAATGCCAACAAATACTTCTTTATACCAATAATTAAATCTGGTGCTCTCTTCATTTGTTTTTAAGAAAACAATGATTGTCATAATTTATTTTTTACAGGAATATAATTTAACTATCTGAACCTTTTCATTTCAAAAAAAGAAAAACATCATTATTATTCAATACTTCTAAAAATAGAATAATGATTGATAATTTGATGAGATATTTCAATAGATAATATTTAATCAATGAATCTTAAAAAAAGAAAGTATTTGTTAATGAGTGGTTCACAAGAAACACTTGACATTGGAACAAAATGTCTTGGTTGTGGTTTAATGGACTTCCTTCCAATTAAATGCTCTTATTGTCATAACCCTTTTTGTAACAAATGTATCAAAACACATCAATGTGATAAAGCTAGAGAAGAGCTTCAAAAAGAAAAAGGGTCTATTCAATGTCCTATTTGTCAAAAATATATTCAGTTAGGTAAAGGAGATATTCCTGATGTTGTTATTAATAATCATATTGAGAATAATTGTAGATTAGAACCAAAAAAAGAAGGGTTTATCTGTAACCTTTGTGGAAAAACAGAGCTTGTTGAGATTGTTTGTGCAGGTTGTCATAAAAATTATTGTGTTGAGCACAGAAACCAATCAACCCATCATTGTGTTGCTCTAACACATAAAACTCAAACGTGTAATAAACCATCACCACTTTCTTTAACTAACTTTGTTTTAGAGAAATCTACTCTCTTCAAATCTCAAAAAAGTTACCCAACTCAACCTGTAAACAAACAAACATTAAGTGCCCAAAAGAAGGCGTTTATCTTAAAAAATGCTCTTGGAAATAAAACTGTACCATTCAATTGTAGATTATATTTTGAAGTTATACTACCAAATGAACAAAGAAAAGCATTATGGATAAATAAAAATTGGACTTGTGGTAAAGTGATTGATGTTATTTGTACTGAGTTTGGATTACCAAATACTAATTTAGTAAATTCACCAAAATATGGATTAGTAGATGAAAATGGAGAACAATTGAATACCACAATGGCTATGAGTAAATTAACTAATTTTTCAACGATAATGCTATTTTTAATGAAGGCTGAAGATTAAATTTATTGTTTTTCATTCTGAGATGTTGGTTTAATGATAAAGGCAATTATAATTGGATGACATGGGTAATTGAAAAATAAAACAAATAAGTACATAGTCCTATGATCATTCCTAATTTTACATGAATTGTTATTCCACTCCATAACTATTGTCTTAGTGACTATTTATTTTGTTTGGTTGTGAAAAACAACAAAAGTGTCTTAAAAACAAACAAAGAAAAATGAGGGTATGCCAGCAAATAATGAAAATAACATTCCAAGTAGCATTTCCATATTCTCATTTTCTGTAGCAATGACAGTATTCATGTCTCCAAACCATTGTTCAAGAACCATAGTATAAAGGTTTTGAAAATTAATTTCATTAGGTATAAAAGGTATCATAATGAGTTTAATAAGAAAAGAAGATTAAAATTTTTAGTTTTTTCGTTTTGTTATACTTATTTGAAAAGAAAATGAGATAAATGGAGAAGGTTTGAAAAAAAATTTATTAGAAAAAGAATAAAATATGCTGAAGAAATAAGTTGATTCACTACTCAACATGATGAAAACCTAAATTTTATGTAAGTCATAGTTGATTATTTTCTTTGAAAAGACAGATAAACCAATAAAAATGGATTATAACAAGAATTTAATCTTCATTGATTAATTCTTCTTCATCACCAATGCAAGTAAAACACATTCCCCAACTTCTAAAATAATTTCTCCAACGTACAATTAAAGAAACATCGTTAGCATAATACAAACAATTAACAAATCCCAATAAAGGAATAGTGAAGCAATGGACATATTCCATCCAGAAAGGTGGTGTTATTTTAAATAAAGGCAATAGTCTATTAAAGAATGGAACAATCCAACAAACAATATAAAGAAATGGATATATAGCCATTTTTCTTACTAATGAAACCATTTCATAAGATTGAACATCATCATTTTTGTTATAAGTAAATAAATAACGTAATTTCATATTTTTGTTAGTTATAATAATCTTTATAATAATTGCTGCATAAATGATAATAACAAGTATTGCAACAACTGCAACAAATATATATAATGTAAAGAAATCCCAATATTTACTTATTGTAGTACACCAAATATCACTTTTTCCATAATTATTTACTGGAATAATACTTAAAACTAAACTAGTTCCCCAAACAAATATATTTGAACAAACAAAATAATTCTTTTTAATTGAACTATTTTTGATAAAATAGGACATACCGATATGTCC